GTCGTTAACCTACTCCCAAAAAGTTCAGATCGCGAACCGCAGCGAAAATCAGGCGCTGTCTGTCTAGCTTGGGCCCATGCTCCTATCCCAATTAATTAGCCTAGCCTTTGTTGAAGGGATAGTATTTGTAATTATCTCACTATACAGTGCTGTACTGTGATTCTGACTACATTTTCTACGACAATCAAGCAATTTGGGTTGTTTAAATTATAATTTTCATAGTTACTTTCACTCAAACAATTTTAACCTTCAATAACAATAAATAACCTTCTTTTCGGGAGTGTGATCCTAGATGTCGTAACAAAACACACGTGGGCTGTTGAAACTTTCTGTTCGACGTCTGGTTCCCGGTGGCTTGTACCGTTATAGAAAGAATACTGATACCGCTATTTCAGAATAAAAGCTTGTGAAATAAATTTATGCAATAAAAACACGAGTTTTCTTGAAGTTGTAATAATTATTTGACTGGAAATTAATTGAAGAAAGGCATACGTTCGTCCGTCTATCACATGCCTCCATCACATGCTGTATATGTGTATAGACGGTCAGTCCATCACATGCTGTAAATTTATGAGTCCATAATTTTAAGGTTCTCCCCCACCCGAGACTGTCCATCAGATGCTGTATTTTCTAACCATTATTTTCCCAAACATCATTTGATGAAGCTATGCTGAAAGTTCTCCACCACCCGGGACTGTCCATCTGATACATGCCACCATCACATGCTGTATATGTGTATAGACGGTCAGTCCATCACATGCTGTAAATTTATGTGTCCATAATAATTTTAAGGTTCTCCCCCACCCGGTACTGTCCATCAGATGCTGTATTTTCTAACCATTATTTTCCCAAACATCATTTGTTGAAGCTATGCTGTAAATTTATGTGTCCATAATTTAAAGGTTCTCCCCCACCCGGGACTGTAACCCCATAACAATCGCCTACTGACGGCCAACTCACTCCCAAGATCAGTCATCACATCCCCCACCCCAAGATCAGTCCATCATATGCTGTATATTTATGTCTATTTGGGGGCCCCCAAGTGTTCCCAAACATCATTTTGATAGATCTCCCAAGCCAAACATCATTTTGATAGACCTCCAAAGGTCCATCACATACTGTAGCCTGTTACTTAAGGTTCTCCTCACCGGGACTGTCCATCACATGCTGCATAGAGACTTGTCAAATGAGACCTCCCCCATCACCAATTCCAGTCTATCACATGCTGTAATTTAAGTGTCTATAATTTTCCCCTACCCCAGGTCCGAATTTCAAATGCTGTATATTTATGTCCATCCCCCAATGACAATCTATCACATGCTGTATATTTATGTGTCCATAACTTCCGCCACCCCCAGGTCCGAATATCAGATGCTGTATACATATATCCATTATTTTCCAAAACATCATTGACCACCTAAGGACCATCACATTGTGTCACACCCCCAATGTTACTCCATCACATGCTGTATATGTGTCCAATTTTCCCCATCCCAGGTCCGAATATCAGATGCTGTACATTTATGGCAATTGTTTTCCCAAATATAATGTGATAGACGGTCAGTCCATCACATGCTGTAAATTTATGTGTCCATAATTTTAAGGTTCTTCCCCATCAGATGCTGTATTTTCTGACCATTATTTTCCCAAACATCATTTGATGAACCCCCTGTTTTCTAGCGAACCCCCACGAATTTTTGAATGAGTCCCACTCGGACGGAATGTCTGTTTTTAACTTACTCAGTATTAAATCGAAATTTAGTACCTAATTCATTATTTGGTCACCCGTTTTTAAATTGTAGCCTACAGTACAAGCCTACATTCATAGAATATCTCAGCTTCAGAAGTTTGGAGATTTAAATTGAACGCAACTCCGGCAAACCATGACTTTACGATAGCTCACATAAGGATCATGGCAAACATCGATAAAAAAAACTTTCACTGGCCTTTGGCTGAATGTTTGTAAGAAATGTACCAACCGGTAACGAAACCGCTGCTCTCTGCCTAGTGATAGTAATAGTGATCGTAACTGAAAAAATAATGATGCAGCAACACGCTTGGTCAACTTGTAAAAATTTAGAGCCTTCTGTTGTTTGCCCATAAAACAAATTTTGGAGTGTTATACAGTACGATTTCAAGACATTGTCATCGGAAAGAAACAGCTATAATATTGAAAACAAACAACTTGAAACAAAATCGGTGTACGGATTTAAATAAATATTTACAATAGATTTTAATGGTCAACTTGTTATCAAATTTTACGACCAATTTTTACATACATTTGTGAGTGACGGTGTGTAATAGACATGCAAAACAAACATTAGCGGTTAGCTGTACAGTGTAATATCTTTGAATATCATTGTAGACTGATTCATTCATATGCTTGGTCATCTTGTAATCATTTAGCATTCAACAGTTTTTAATAATAGGTCCGTATCTCTAACACTTCTAGACGTAGTATCAAATTATAGTTGCCATAGACCCGGTTTCATACACGATCGCTTAAGTAAACTTCAAAGGAAACTGTTTTCCCAATTTTTCTTATTGTTAAATACTCCTATGCAATACTGTAAGCCCCTCTGGTATAAAATTGACAGATCAATTAGACACTCTGTAAAGATCGATTATGCCCTTTTATATAATAAGGCCATAGGCCTAATGTACTGTGTGAAGTACTGACTTTGTTAACATCGAATGGGTGAAATTGCACACAAACTTCAGACTCTTGACCTAACATACAATGCCAGAGGAAAGGATATCACGTTTTAATCACCAAAAAGGATTTTCCACGGACGCACAGAGTAATAGTTTTTCTAATTTTCTAATAGTATGGCCCAAAGCGAACGAGTTTCTGGTCTCGAAAATCAGAAACTTCGTTAAGGCTTATACAGTACAAAATACTGTACAGAATATGATTCATTGAAAAAGCTTTAAAATGAAGGACTTTTAAATGAAGTTTATATACTAAAATTTTGCGAATCTTGGGTTTTTAAAAGCAATCTTGTGATTTTTTAGACCCAATGTTGAATTTTGATTTTCCCTAGTGGTCACGCTGCATTTAGAGACAGAATTATACCCCGACGACATCAAACTAGTGTAGGTCTAGGTACAGTAGGACGTACTACTAGGCCTAGGCTTTTGTTGTAAAAGTTGAAGTGCATGTACAAGATGCGCAAAGGCCTATCTAAAAAAAAATAATACATTTTGTTAATTATTACTGGTTGGCCTGGGACCAGGCAGGCCAGCTTTGCCGTCGAAAGTCCAGGGATTCGACGATGGCGTCAGTGCACATGTTTACAAACGCCATTGATTGGAATGAAAATAGACGCGCTGAATTTCGTTTGTTTTATGAAAGATACTATTTATCGAACATTTATCTATATAAAAACAAGAATAATATTGTAGAATTGTATTTCTAAAGATTCATATATAATTCATATTTCATTTGGTAGACAATAGATATTCAGTAAGATACTAAAAACGATTATTAATTCTGAAATGTGCATCAAATCTCAGCTATTATTAATCAGCAGTTTGTATTAGGTTAAAGTCTTAAAAACAATAATTTCGAATATGCCTAGTAAACAAATAATTGTAATTAAAGTTTAGGTTCCCATGATGTCAGATGACGTTTTCAAATTATGATGTTATATTTTGGACTCTGACTTAATTTAACGATGGCCCTGTCAGTTGTAGTAAATCTTTGTAAATTATTTTATAGGCCTATATAATAGCTTGTTTTGTTTTATAATAATAAATGTGTTGAGTGTATTGATATTGATTATGCGATGAGTTTTTTTTTTTTTTGTCTTTCGGTGTGATTAAAACATGCCAATTCTCAGAAAATATTTTCA